AGTAACCGCAAACTGTCAAATTACCTCATCCAATTGCTACACAATTGGCTTTGCTCTGCAGACTCAATAATCATGTTACACTAATCCTCAGATATTTGCTTGTTTACATATGTAGCGCAAAGTCGCACTATTTTGACACCTTAAATAAGTTACATGTGCATAGCATCATAGCTAATGCCTTAGCCAATAGTAGGGGTGTTCATAGACCGATCCAAACCGATTCAAACCGCAGAAACCGAACCGAAAAACCGAAAACCGAAATAACCAAAAACCGAAAAACCGAAAACCGAAAAAAATCGAAAAATTTTACTGGATTGGATCGGTTTTCGGTTTGGATGTTGATAACCGATCCAATCCAAACCGATCCAAACTTATTTTCTACCAAATTGGGCCTATCCCAAATAATAGCCCAAAGTTATAAATCCACCCATTAGCCCATCAGCTTTGAAGTGAAACACAAAAAAATTCTAAACCTAATCCATCCAAACTTACGCTCTGGCAGTGGCATCTGTGGGTGAGGGTCTTTCTCTCTCAGTCTCTCACTCTTCTCAGTCACTCACGCTCTGGCACCGCGTAGCATATCTCTTTCTTCTCAAAAATCAACGTTTGTCTCTTCCGTTAAACAGCCAAATAAACATATAACAAAGGTACTGTAACACTTGATTTTATTTGCATCAAGGGCATGATAAAGGTATAGCAAAGCAGATTTCTAAATTTCTTCCCGTTATTCGTGTGATGAAGCAATAATATTTTCCTTCGTTTTTCGTTGGTTTCAAACAATCGCCTGTTATTCTGTGTGGCTGTGACATAACATTTTTTTCTCTAAAAAAATCTATAGAATCATTTATCTGAAGAGATGGTGTATTGAAATGTTTATTTTTCTTGTTTTATTATCTAAAAATACAATGTAAAAATGGTGCGAAAATATTATAGGTTGAAAACCCAATTCCTTCGATTCTTACCACACCAAGAGGGGCACAAGTTGAGCCATCAGATATAGACTTAAGGACACAAACATAACAGCTGTAGAACAAAAAAATGTTCTGATACACTGTTGATGGAAAACAGATTAAGAGGGGAGGGGTCTGTGAGAAAAGATAGGGGAGGGGTTTGAAACATCCTCATTTTTTCTAAAAATAATTCTTATAAGTTTTGTTTTTTTGGCTTTTCAAAAAACCGAAAACCGATCCAATCCAAACCGAAAAAAATTGGATCGGATCGGATCGGATTTGAAAAAAATTCAAACCGATCGGATGATGTAATGACCAAACCGAAGGAATTGGATCAGATGGTTTTTTGCTTCAAAACCGATCCAATCCAGACCACGAACACCCCTAGCCAATAGTACCATTTATCTACATCCACATAACACTCCACCGCTACGCCACACCACACCTGCACCTACACATTGGCACAAGGCTACAACGAAAACTTTGGTGTCGCATGGTTTTCTTGACCACTTCTCCTATATCAATGCAAATCCTACTATATATAACATTGATATCCACTTGTTGGATCATATTACATGAGCCCCCGGTCTTTCTCATGCTATGATTGTGAAAGCTCAAATTCTCAGTTACACATGCTCCTTCCATTCTACATACTCTATCTCAATTATACATATACTAAGTGTTGGATTCATTGCTAGTGTCCCACCACCATGTGTCATTATTTTCACAAATAGATGAGACTCATTTTTTTATTTTATTTTTTGTCAATTATCTTTTTTTTTATAATTTATCTTTTTCTCTTACTTAAAATGACGTAACTTTACGTCTTTTGTAATGATACATATTTTTTCTTTTTGTTAATATTGAATAAAAACCGCCCCTTTGAGATAGAAAATATAAAAATATTTTTTTAAAAAGATGGCATGAATTTCAATGATTGAATAATTGAATAATTGAAAATAGTAATGGTAAATGTTTGGATCACCACCACCTACCAAACTGTATATATTTTTTTTTTAATTTAGTGATGACTGAATCGTACAGCGGTGTCCAGTCCTTATCGTTAGTTGTCTTTCTACTTTATATTATATCCTGACAAAATTAGGGAAACGGTAGGTCAAAGTTCTAAAAAATAGGACTACGTGTCACGCACAAAATTTCATTTTGACAAATTACTTTTATCAAAACGGTAGAAAAAAAAAAGTACGACACGCAAAACGAATTTTTAAAACATTAGACAATCACTTTTCTTAGAATATAACTCTTATAAATCTTTAAAATATAACTAAGATATTATCTTACCGTAGGTGGGTATTAACTAATTATCTGTACACGCATAGAACCGTACTCATACTGTACTCGTAATCTTAATAGAGAAAACTACAGCATTATCTTCACATGAAAAGTTTTCACGTCAAATCGTTTTTGTCGTGACGAATATTGGCATCTCCAGATTCTTTGCTAATGATGCTAATACAGACGTGATTAAAAATTTCCCAACGAAAGGTCTCGTTGACGCAACATGAAACAACGGTATCAAACACACATTAGTCCTATTAAAATAAAGAAGAATTAGTTTACCAAAAAAAAAAAAAAAGAATAGAGAAGAATTAGACAACCACCCAAATCATTGTATATTCGAGACTATTTTCGTAAAAGGAAAATGAAAAGATTATATAACCAGAACAATTAAAAGAAAACAAAAACGGAGCGAAAGTGTTATTTTCTGAGGCATGGTCCAAACAAAGAAGCAGCAAAAGTGATGCAAACAAACAAATTGTAGACCGAATATTTTAGTGTGACTCAGAGTCAGATTCATAAAGCAGTAATCTTGGTTCATGAATTGGTGTTCCACATCGTCTCCACCTTAAGCTAGAACCTCTTTAACCTTTATCGTATTCCGCTTCTCTATCATTGTTTTTTTTTTTATTAAGTAATGACCCACTAACTATGGCCTATCTTGCGGCGTAATTTATTATTATAGGGTCCTCTTGAAATTCTTTTTGTAAGGTGCTATGGAAAGACAAAATTCAATTATTTCTAATTTTCTTATTTTAATTTCATATATTTTATATAAATTTGGCTCAGGATGACTAGAGAAGTAAATTTGCTAATTTTCTTAATAAAATTTAATTTTAATGAACTGCATCAAAAGTTTTACATTAATATTTATTATTATGTTGTTACATTATTTAATTTTTCTGACATTACATATAATTTTTAACTTAAAGTTATTAAATAAAGTATCAATAAAAAATTAAACGAAAATATAAAAAAATTACATTATTAATATATCAAAATTAAACTCATTCTTAATTTATTTTTTGATAAGAGAGCATCTAACACTTGAAGGCACACATATTCTTGTCCTGCTTTACGCAAACATTAGATTATTGAGTAAGCTTGATATTCAGTTAAAGATGAGGGAGAATTACATACCCATCGTAATCAAATAAAATTTGCAAACAAAATAAATGAATTCGCGTAGCTAAAAATAAATGTTAACCATGAAGACATTTTGAAATAACTTTTTTTTTTTTTTACGTGCTATGTGCTTGAATGATAGTCAAAATCACATATAAAGTTAGTTTTATCTTTTATCAATGTCACAGCATCAGCATATGCTAGTTCAATCATTCACCGCAGCCACAGCACCATGAACGCGGAAATATCTTTGATGCATAATATATATTCAATTTAGTATATTTTTTCTCCATATTTTAAAAAAATTCCCAACACATTGAAAAAATTTCTACTTTTTTTTAAAAAAATATATCCAATTAAACACATATATGCACTAAAGACCAAAGTTTTGTTCCATGAACGCCACATTGTGTGGGTGTTATTTATTTGTGTAATGTTACTTTTAATATAAATAACATTATTTTATCCATCGGGTGTAACTTAGTTGTATATGTAGCACCGATACTGACACGGGACACGTGACACGATACGACACGACACTCCGACACGTTAATTCTGAAAAATGTTAGATTCTGACACGTTAGGACACGTTTTGATATTAAATAATATTTTTAATTTATGTGGTGTATATTATATTTAATATTCAATAATTTAATAAAAAAATGAATCTAAACTTATAATATTAATAAATTTTGCAAAAAACATAAGATATCTCAAATATTTATATTAAACTCAATAAAATAGTAATCGTAATCCAACGAATCTAATAGTTGGAACTAAAAACTCAACGCAATGTAACCTTTAAACTTTTTTTTGAATTTCTATAACGTGTATTAGAGTGTCGGGAGTGTCGGAGTGTCCGAGAGTGTCGGGAAGTATCGGACACGACACGTCAGGATTTTTGAAGTGTCAATGCTTCATAGGTTGTAGCACAGGATAAGTAGAGTAGAGAGTAAATTTGAATTTAATTATCATCAAATATATCTTTGAAAAGGGATAACGAATTTTAACTGTGATTAAGATATGACTCGATTAATTTCATAATCGATTCAAAGAATTGAAATTTTTGTGATATCGAAGCCAACTAGCCTAAAAAAATAATTAGAATCGGTATAAAAAATGACATTACTTTATATTTTCTTAAGGAGGTGTTTGGTAAGGAAATTTTTTCATATTTTTGAGAAAGTGATAGTGGTAATCCTATTTATCCATATTTGATACAAAGGTTTTAAAAAAATTTCTGAAAATCTGATTTTTTCAAAATTTTATTTTGTGTATACTTTTTTTTCTAAAATATCATCCAAGAATACAACAAAAAAATTTCTTCCAAATTTTCTTGAAATCTCACGTGTTGAAAAAGTTTTACACTTTTTTAAATAAAATCTCGATAATATTTTAGTCTATCAAATAATTTTTTTAATAATATTTCTAAAAAAGTTACTTCTTCACCATATTCATGAAAATTTGCATGGCAAACGCCCCTAAAGCAAAAAAATAATATATATATATATATATATATATATATATTGCAGGGAATTTATGGGACCCGGTGGTGAGTATGCAAAATAAAGAAATACAGCACTTTGTTTGGCACCTACTTAGAACAATGAACATGGATGGTATTGGTATATGGTAAGGTAGAGGTGGATTACACTACCGACGCTATCTTTTAGGAGAGAGGAGAGAGGAGAGAGGAGAGAGGGAGAGAAAAGGGAAAAAAGGAAGGAGGTTGTGGAGTTAATAAAAGAAAGAGGTAAATCCTTTATGTGGGAGTAACAGAAGAAGTGTGTGGAGGGAGAACAACAACACAGAGAAATGAGAATGGTGGAGTCTGTGTTGTTGGGGAGACAGACATGATCTATCTATGTTCACAAAGAGTATTGCTTTCCCTTATGTTGGAGAAGCAACAACAACCACCACCACTACGCTAGAGTAATCCTTTGATAATTTGTGAGTTCCTCATCTCTCTCATGCATTTTCTCCTTTTTTTTCTCACCACTTGCATTGAACATGCAGCTTGCACCATAGGTTGCTTTCTTTTCTTCTCTTGGCTGAATTTCGTAGGGTGCTTTTCTTTTTTTGGGGGGGTTGATTTTGAAGGTAAGGTTAAGTGGTTTCGTTTCTGGGGAAGGATAGTGTCAAGTGTATGCAGCTGACATGGCCTAAAAGTTCTGCCTTTATTACGAAATTCACGGCAATCTTTGCGCTCTAAGTTCTGGGGTGGCCGTGTGGAAGTAAATTCGGTCACTTTGAGATCTGGTTGAGGCTGATTTGCAAGGACAACCGTAATGAGCAAATTGGATGTGTAATCCTTTTGTTGGAGAGACAATTGTTATTTGTTGTAGAGAGCTTGTATGTCTGGAAGACTGAAAATTGATTCAAGTAGAGTGGGATTCTTCAATTTGGTTCGTGGTTTGGGATAAGAGACTCGAGATCTGGGGGAATATTACACTTTTAGGTTGGATACCAAATTAAGGGGTTACTTAGATCTAACCAAACATGAAGTTACCTTGCATGACTTAGGCTATAGGATTAGGAATCCCACATGTGTACTTCATATCATAAGTATTTATGCACAAGGCACAGACATCTTGCAATTTTATTTATTTATTATTTTATTTTTTTATTTTGGGGGGAAGGTTTGATTGAAATGGAAGAGTTCCTTCTCTGGCTAAGTTGATGGACAGTTTTGAGTAGACTCATTGCTTAATGAGAAGTAACTTATATTGAGATTGGACTTTAACTTGATGATATTTCATTTGTTTGTTCTAACACTCGTTATCGAACAGCTTAAGCTTTATTATATCTTGATCATTGTTGACTTGATCCTCCAAAGGTGCTGAAAAAATGCATTTGAATAAGGTTTATCTTATTGATGGTTGTCCATTTCTTTCTTTGCAGCTTGGAGATGGGGTCTCTGGCTCTTGAAACCGAGGATGTTAGCTCAGATATATACCTTTCACTGGGGCTTAAACAATTGGGTAAAAGAGGAGGAGTTCCACGGGTTTTATCACTTCTCTCTTCACTTCTTGAGAGATCAGTTCAGAGAAATGAAACGCTATTGGAAGCAAAGCATATGAAAGATGTAGTTACAGTATTTCATGGTTTAAGAGCACCTACTCTCTGTGTTCGTAACTACATTGATCGTATCTTTAAGTACTCAGGTTGCAGCCCATCCTGCTTTGTTGTGGCGCACATATATGTAGATCGATTTCTTGAGCAAACGGAGATCAAATTGACTTCACTTAATGTGCACCGGCTTCTGATAACAAGCATTATGCTGGCTGCAAAGTTTATGGATGATGCGTAAGTGCAAGTTTAAAATTGGACAAATGCACATAATATCTTAACTGTTATTCTTTGCTTTAGGTATGTATCTAGTGGTGAAATAATTTTTGATGCTTTGTCTGAAATTTATCTATTTTGTGGGCCATGTAAGGTGATAACTCAATTAGTATGACTGGTCTAGCGGGTTGACAACCTTTGCAATGTTATAATATGCTGAATCAATGATCAGTTTGACAAAAAGGATGATTTAAAGGGAAAAATATAGTTCCTCTTACTTTTTTCTGTTTTGATTAGCTTTCATTCTCCAAATTTGTTTTATTCAGTTCAAGCTGCCGATGTATCTCTCTATTTGGTTTTGCAGATTCTTCAATAATGCTTACTATGCAAAAGTTGGAGGAGTAAGCACATCTGAACTGAATAGGTTGGAGATGAGCTTCCTATTTGGCATAGATTTTAGACTTCAGGTTAGTGTAGACACGTTTGGAAGATATTGTTGGCAATTGGAGATGGAAGCTGAAGAAGCACTCCAAATTGAAAGGCCAATGCAGGCTTGTCGAATTAAAGAAAGCTGGTCAAATAAAGATGATCCTACATGTGCTTCCACAATTGCAAGATGAAAATGTGGAAGCACCAGAATGTATCATTTGTGTTCCACAATTAACCGGGACAAAATGAAATTTAAAGTATTCCAAGAAAAAAATAAAAAAAAATTGCTATATACCCGCAATGATTCAACCATTTTTTTAGGATACTGTTGTGGTTGGTTATGCTTCCTTTCCTCTCTAGTTTTTTCTGTTTTTTGTTTTTCCCTGGTTTGTAATTGCAAGCTTGTAGCCAGATAGAGATTGTGTTGAAATTTTATTCCTTAAAATTCGCTTGGGTTTCCTCTAGTACCTTTGGTTGTTAAGGTCTTCCCTTACAAAGATGCTTGCTTTTTACACTAGTCTCCCCTTCTTGAGGAACTTTTTATTCCCCTTCCCCTCCTAACATTATAGTAAGCTTTTATTCATTTTCAAGTTTTGAAGAAAGAAGTATCAAATATTATGGGTGGCTTTAAGTATCCAAAGGGGAAAGGGAAAGTAGACTATTAGGTCGTTCGAGTCCAAGTCAAATAGCAAACACCTGGTGTATCATTCACGCCTTATTTTAAGAACATTGACACATGGGGATATATAACGACGATGGGTAAAATAAAATTACTATGGCATCGTTTAGATATTTGATAATAAAATAGAAGAAAATAACAACAATAAATAATAAATTAACTACATCTCATATGCTATCAAGAGGAGAAAGAGAAAAATAAAAGTAATGGACAGAAATAAATAAAGGAAAAAGTGTTTATTTTTTTAAATGACCTAACTTGTTTTATTTCACTCTCACAAAGAGGTAGGATCCACACCTTTATTTTTTTGTGTCCACTCTCTCTCCCCTATGATGTATCTCTTTCTCTCACTTAACATGACACAACTTTACATCCTTTAAAATTATACATATTTTTCCTATAAATAAAATAGACCTCGTTAGGTTCATTTTCATGTCATCTTATTTTAAACAATTCAAATAATGACAACTAATATAATTCGATTCAATACGCTTTTATGTCGCGAACTTTAAAGAGGCACAACTGGTAATGGGGATGGTTGGAACTGAAAGAAGCCTTAGAATTGAGAAATTAATCTTTTGGGACTTTCCACCACAACAATGGATGAAACTCAATGTCGATGGCTCTAGTAGTGACAGAGGAACCCACTCTAGTTGTGAGGGAGTCATCAGAGACGACTCAGGTAGATGGATCATAGGCTTTAGTAGGAACTTGGGCAGAGGATCCTCCTTAAGAGCTGAAATCGGGGATCTCCTGAATAGTATTCAAGTAGCTTGGAACTTCGGCTGCAGGAAGATCTTGATAGAAGGGGACTCTCAAGTTGCTGTTAACTTAGTTATTAATGGTTGCGAAAGGAACCACCCGGTTGGTCCTATGGTTTACCAAGTGCAAGCCTTGCTTAGAATACAATGGACAACAAAACTATCTCACATCTATAGAGAAGGGAACATGGTTGCAGACACCCTGGCTCGTCATGGGAGCAAGTGGACAGATTGGGACTGCCACATTCTTCAAGAACCTCCAGCTGAGTGTAGAGTTTTTCTAAGTAGAGATTTGATGGGCATCTGTAGCCCAAGAACTTGTAAACCCTTTATTGTAATTCCTCTTTTGCAAAAAAAATAAAAAAATAAAAAATAAAAAAAGACCTGAGATTACAATAAGTTTACTACTCCTAGCTACATTTAAATCACTAACTAGCATATCAAAGACCGAAGCAGACACCACCCTCATAGCATGAGGCAAGATCAGGTAGTATATGTAAATTCCTGTATTTGATCCTCTATAACAATTAAAGATATACAATAACATATGCACGATGCATAAAAATTCCCATGGCAAACTAGTAGTATACAGACAAGCGTTACATCAGACCATTTACATGGTAATAACGGGAAGTTTCCATTCTTTCAAATCCTTTGTTTCGTGTATTGAAAATCTCCAACGGTTTTGACTTATCAGAACATTCACGACCTTTCTCTTCCACTATTTCATTCATAATCACAATATCCATATTCATTCATTGCCATGCAGGATTGATTTCTACAGTGTGGAGGTCTCCAGCATTATCTAAGAGTTCGGCTTATGACAAAAAAAAAAAAACATCTGACATCACCTATTCACCTTGGAGGCCTCTCCAGTGCAGTCCAACCAAATTTACCTTTTCTAAAATCCGCCAGCACACGGAACGCTGCTTGATGAACATCTCCATTAAATACTTGGAGTGCAAGCTTATCTATGAATCTGCAATTTAGTAAATACATGTTATCAAATTAAGCAGAAACTAATCAGAATATGAAGACGAATTAGCGCTGTCAATCAATGCAACAAAAGAAATTTAAAAAGAAAACTAAAATCAGTAGCATACGTTTTACCACATTGACCATCTACATCAATCCGGTATCGTTTACAAAGAGCATCTCTGCCTGCATTGAGCATACACTGAGAATTATAACTTTTGAAGAGGGGGAAGGGGGATCAAACAATGTAATCTTGACCCTAACCTAGTTAGTTTATTAAATTATAAAATGCATATTGGAAAAACCTAAAGCATCTTGCAAAAATGCCACTACCAATGATATCCTAAACAAGTTGCCGTGACAAAAAAAAAACCATTCATTCTTTGAGATATAGAAACTGTCATTTTTTTAACCAAAATAGGATTCCACTTTGGCTGCATGTCATGATACATACCTACCGCAGGAAGCTTTGTAAGCATCCGCACAAGAATAGCAGCAACATCAGTCACATCATAGGACCTCTCTCCGATGTCATCACATATGGCGAGTTTTATAGCAGCTGACTGATCACTGATTCGCATTGGGAGTATTCCAGGAGAATCCAGCAGTTCAAGATCTTTCCCAAAACGAACCCACCTTTGGCATTAGGAAAGGAATATGATAAATTATATATTCAATGTTTAATGAGAGATCCACTATGGATTCTTGTTTGAGCTCAGACTTTTAGTCAGAACAAATTAGTTGTAATATACTTCTGCAGGATATTGCTTTTGACACTACTAGAACTGAAACCGAATGTACCACCATTAACTTTTCCTCTGTTGAGAGTAAAGAAAACCCCAAAATTTAATTTTTCAGCAATTGGGATTAAATCTACGTTCTGATGAAATTCAGGAGACATGTTGCATCCATTAGATTTAGAAGTCCGTTCAAGTTTTTGTCATTTTAGCTGTAAGAGGAGGTTTGTGATAACTTTATTTGTGGATTTAGAATCAATAACAGAAAAAGTACAAACTTAACAGTTAATGCCGTTATTCTGAAGTAACAACTTAAACAAAATACATATAAATCCATGAACAAATGAAAAAATTGCTTCAATTTTTCAAATTCTTTCAATTTATTGATGTAAAAATGATTTGAGGAAATATAATAATAACTTACTTCAATTGTCTTGTGACTCCTGGCCTGGGAGCTGCTGGGCACATTCTGCGCTTTAAGAGACGGTTAATCAAAGATGATTTTCCAACATTAGGGTATCCAACTATTCCAGCTCGAACCTATTCAATAGTAACACACATTCTTTAAATAATAATAATAATATTTTGCTATCAATCGAAGGATAAGTTTTGCTCCATGCAAGTTCACGAATGTAAGATCTACTTCCAAAGTACACAATAATTTGCATTAATAATTAATAAAATAATATTTGGACTAGAATTATGAACCAAAAGACAAAGCGACATGAATAATTTACTCAAGGAACAGATATTAGCCACGAAACTCAAATTTAATCATTTTAAAAAGGACTAAAAGTGAGTATGACTAATAGATAAGCTACAAATACACCTTTTTTGTCAAATAAGAAATGCAGGATGAATGCTAGGGGAAGATTGTACAAAGCAATCAGCCAAATATTAATTTTGTTATTTCAGTTGCTGAACCATCATTTCACTGAGTTTGCAAGAAAATTACAAGAGAGAAAGAGAGTTGGGAAACCTAGTATGCATACAGTTCTTTCTTTCTCTAACGAAACATGTTTCCTTATTCTTTGAGATAAAAAATTAGTCCTTTTAAGTTACAAGATATGTTTCCTTATACTAGTATGCATATAGTTTATTCCTTTCTCTAATAAAAGATATGTTTCCTTATTCTATTGAGATAGAAAAGTAGTCCTTTACCAGAAAATTAGTATAGGAAATGAACAAAAGAGAATCAAAACTGGCTTGTAATAGCTAGGAGCAACCCACCGGACGAGGAAGTAGTCCTTTGGCTCTACGTTTAACATTTACATCAGCTGCTAATTCCTTCGCTAACCGACCTAGCTTCATTGAGCCCTGTACTTACAACATCAGGTTAAACATGCTTTACATGAACCTTCAAAACATAGAGAGTTGGGGAAAAAATGATCTTGTTCGGATACCATTCCAAGCTGCCCATTGGAGAAGACAACCTTTGTGCCATGGCTAGCAAAATAAGCAGCCCAAGCATTTCGGTCTGCAGTTGATATCATGTCTTCTCTATTTAAAACCAGAATTCTCTTTCTATTACCAAGCCATTGATCCATCTACAAAAGCAGAAGTAAAAGTGAGATGAAGAGTTAGGATGTATTGTCCTCGTACCTAAGTCCTAATTATTGTATTTGGATGTAGGGTCTCACTAATACTTTATGCTCCATTAAAAAGCATTATGTGACATTTATAAAAAAAAATAAAATAAAATTAACATTGGCATAAAAATAATTATTATTCATAAAACAAAGAAGCCATGGAAAATGACTCTTAACAATTTATGATAAAAACTACTTATCAAATAAAGAAGCCAAGAGAAACAATAGAGAACTGCAAAAAATAAGTATGGATTTCTTCAACCAAGCCCAAGACTGGAAAAAGAAAACATCTTAGGCTTTAAATAATAGAAAGTAAAGTTTAACCAAACGCAAATTTGGTTGAGACAACAAGGGGTACAGAGGATAAAAGTAAAACACAAGATAGTATTCATGTTAGCACTAAGTCAATACTCAAATGAAATTAAAAAAAAAATTAAAGAACCTTGCCTGTGGATGACTTGTGGACATAGGAATTCTTCCATCCCGCACCTCTATCACAACATCCATCAACTTGAGCTGCTCCTTCAGTTCTTTTTCTGCTTTTGCAATATGACCAGGAAACCACTGTCCAATACACAGGAAGAATCAGCAACCCAAGTTTTGCAATGATGCAACAACACAAGGCACATAAATAGAAGGGGACATAAATACCTGCACAGGGCGTAATGGCTTTGTCCAGTGATGAAGATCATTGTCAAGATCAGTCCAATGATCAGTCTCTCCTTGGCAGCCATCAAATATGTTGCTGTTGGGATTAGCATGTCCATTTTCACTCCAACCAGTGCCTTTCACACCAACTATCTGCAACATTCTCATCACAAAAATTACTCAATGTCAATGACTAAACTCTGGGTGAGGGTATAATAAAGTCCATAACTTCCTCCTTTTTTAACAAAAGCTGGAAACTTTAATCTCTAAAAACACCATAAGACAACAATTAACAAATCCATAACATGACAGTTATTGAAGTACTACTACAATCCTATCACAGCTTCTATGAATTAAAATGAACATTTAGCCCCAAAAAAATGGAATTTTGAATGGAAATGGTAGATGGGTAGGTGATTGAGGATTACCTGAATGGTGGGAGATAAGGATGAGAACGTTGGTGTGGCAGCGAGAGCAGATGGAGAGAATCTGCCACTGCTGGGAACAAAGTTTCCATGTATTGATGGAGAATTGGGAATCCATAAGCCAGAAAGCTGAACACTCATCGCAGTGAAGTTTCTTGTTTTTCTGCGAATTGGTTCACACAACACCGTCCACAGTACTCACATTCTCTTTATGATAATTCTAAAGGAAAACGTATAAATTTTTTTTTTTTTTTCTAATAGTCTATTATTCAATATTCACCAAATGGAAGATGACTGATTGAGTGAATTTTTATTTTATTTTTTATACCGATATCTAGTTAATTATTATTTTCAGATAAATTGATTCTTGTATTTTCACAAGTTTTAATTCTTTGAAAAGGCTATGAGATTAATCTCAACTGAAATTTTTTATTATCATAAGAAAATCTTTAATATACTGGGAAATTTTATATTTTTATATTTTTTCTTATCCATAATACTTATTTAATTAGTTGAAGAAGTGAAAAATACTACGAAATGTATGGTAAAATACTTAGGTATTACTTTCAATTTAATCAGATAAAAATAATAATATTAAATAAGTCCACCTGTTACTCTATTTAAATATTTAAACAGAAAATGAAAAATTGTCTTTCGGCTTTTGTTCATGTGCGAATTACTATAAAAATTTGAAAAGAGCCAAAAAAAAAAGTGCTCATTTTTTACTAAATGATTATAAAAAAAAAACTAAACTTCTTATAATTAAGGGTTTGCTTTTTGTGCAGTCATTGCAGATAAGTTATTTGCAGTAAGCCTAATACGACGTCATTTTAGGACAGAAATCATGGTATTTTTGTCATTTTAATTTATTTCATAATATATTATAGTCTTTATAATTATAATTTTTCAATCACAAAACGACGTCGTTTTGAAAATAAATACAGATAATTTATATGCAGCGGCAAAAATATTTTTCTCTGTAAATAATGAAATCAAAAGATGTAATGTGATCCAATGAATTTAAAATTTCTAAAGTTATTTTTAGATAACTTTATTTAATAATGTTATCCAAATATGTATAAAAAAATGTGAGAACTGAGATCTATCTGAATTCATGTGAAAAAAAATATGAGTCTCACATATTTTTTTTATGTGTATTTTGATAAAAATTAAATAAAGTTATATAATATTAAAGAGAAGAAATATTCCCACTACCAAAAATTTTTACTACCTATCTAATCACCATTAGATTAATATTTTCTCTCTTTTCAAATTTTTTTTAATATTCTCTCTCTTAGATCCAACGGTAATGTGATGGGTAGTAAGTTAGTAGTAAAAAAATTTAGTAGTTAGAATATCCTTACTCAATTTTAAAAACTTTAAACCCTAAAACTATCTAACATAAAACACCGTCTTTGTGGGGAGAAACTTTTTTTTTTTTGGGAAAAAAAAAAAAATTATTATTAGAAACTGGCAGTACTCAACACTATCTACATTAGAAACTGTCATATTTATCATCAATAATAATAATTTTATTATTAATTTTTTTAATTTACCAAAAAAATAATTTTCAAATCAAAAAATTTATTTTTAATAAATTAATCAAATTAATATTAAATTGAAAATTAAAGCAATTTTTTTCAAATCGAATAATATTTAATACTATAATTAATTTTCATTTGCCTATTATAATATTTTGCAGGAATTAAAAAAAATTGTGAAATAAATAAAAATTAGTTATTTTTTTTTTTTGGTAATTTATTAGTTATGTTTTTTTTGCCTATTATTTATGTTATTAAATATTATTTTACTTAATAAATTCAATATTAATTTTTATTCAATAATAACATAACCATATTAATTTATTATAATATGTGTGAAGTGAATTAATAAAATTAAAAAAAATGAGAAATCTAATACAAAAGCAGTATATTAAAAAATTTATTTCCAGACACATTAATAGATATTAATTTTTAAAAAGCGTGCCACGTTTGATAGTTTATACTAATTTATAAAAAAAATTACCACTTTAACAAATAACAAATAGTAAGTTCACTTTTTGACATGCGCGATAAATCCTAACATTAAAAAAAAAAACTTGTAACCTCTTTTCTTACTAATATTCAAATAATTTATTAATAGAAATTCTTGTACATTTTTTGCTCTAAAATTTAAAACAGGCTAGATATGCATCTGACTGAAGTTTTTACAGTTTGACTACACCTCTCTGTATATGCACAGAGCTGTTTCTTGAGATAGTTTTACAAGTAACATGGTAGCAACTTGGCATGCAAGAATCCCAAGAGCAATAAGATGGTATTATGTCCGTATTAAAAGTTCATGAAAAGATTACAAGCTAAATGGAATGTATCAATGATATCAAGCACGGATATTAAGGACCAAAACCAGCGTTAAGATGTCAACACTATCTTTACTACTTCAAGAGAAATGGCATTCATAATATCAAAATTGCGTTACTTATTCTAGAGTCTTAACTCAAGGCTACAAAGAAAAGACTCTCCACCACCTAAGCATGTTAACCTGAATGATCTGTCGTTCTAATTCTAACTACAACATTTACAGCTTTGTACATTTTCACCTTTCCTCGTATCATTGTTAAAAATCTATGGATCCTCACGAGTCAGCTGGATAAGGCTTGGTAAGTAAAGTTGTGAAGAATTTGCGCATGCTTGGTACAATGCAACGAAGAAGGAGGCAATACCTGCAAATTGAGAAGATAGAGAACTTAAATATGATCGATTAAATATTGGCTTTCCTGGTTTGAAGGCTCTCAGCACAACCCTGGTCCCAGAAAAACATACTGAACTAAGAAAGTACTACTCAGGTCGTAAAGAATGTAACATACCATGGTTTGGTACTCAGTTCATCAAAGTGCGCCAACACAAAGAGTACGCATGCATGTTTTAACGATGTAGCATTGAATGCCTCTGATATATCGTACATTAGTGAAACATTTTTCACAGTAATATCCTATAACAATAGTTTGATCAGTCATGGGATTAAATTGAATTATTTCAGAAAATCTACAAAAAATAAAAGAAAAGCAGGCCTCCGTGAAACTCATTTCTTGATCTACCTGAGAAATAGCATGTTCACAAAGACGCTTAAGATCGTCTAGAAGATACTGATCTGCAGCTCTGAGGAGATCCTGAGCAGTATCCAAATTGACATCTACTGTTCCAGCGTATATAAATCTAAAAGTGCCAACAGAAAATCAGTTCATACATAGGGCCTATTATAAATACATAACAATATTACAAAAGGGGATGGTATATCACCTCATCATCAACTCAAATACATCCCATTTAATATTTGGAATCTCGATCTCTTTGGCTTCCCTTTCCTGCATATACATTTGAAGACATTAATATTGATATTTACGCTTAAGTTCTACATATCCAAAAGAAAAATTCCAATTGTAAAGTAATTGAGGTTTGCAAAATTTCCACATTGTCTGGAGAACAAGATACGCAGTAAATGGACAAGCCATCACATTAAGTTTCTATACGAATATTTAGAAAAGATATAGGTTATTACACCTAATCTGTTACCTTTTATACTTTAAATAATTGTGATAAAGAATGGAGGTACACTTTTGATTGGGAGAACATTTCACCGTGAAAAAAGAGAGAAGAAAAGGACGTAAACAAAGTTGCAAGATTAATTAATGCTTACCCGGTAACCACCATCCAACATTGCGCGAAATATATCATAAGCCAGTAAACAAACTCTATGAGCATAAAACCTTTTACCTGAAGAAATGAAAACACAGTAAATTAGAATATATATAAAAAAAAATAGGCATACAAACAACAAATTAGTAGAAAATATTATTAACACAATAATAAAGTAGCAGCTTATCCACCTTCAACCAAGAAGGTGACATCAGAAAGGTCAGGATTGTTTACATATTGCTCGTCCAAATGCACCTACAACAAAAACAGCCAAGTACTACATTAATTTGTATAACATACACTAAATGCCACAATAAATAAGGCGATAAGGAGAGGAAAAAGGACACGCCAATGACACAGATAGCAAAATACCTGGCGAGTTGGTGTTGGAGTAGCAGCATCATCGAGAGAGACAGACGTGCCTCTGGTAGCCAACTTATGAAGCGCCACTGAACCATCACCCTTCTGCTTTAGGTTTGTAGACTCAAGAAGATCCAGCAGCAATTCTAATCCTGAACAGTCAACGGTATATTGATTCAAAATACCTTTTAAGCACACTAAGTGGGAAATGATGGAGATGTACAGATCAAAGTTTATTACCATTATTGTCAACGAAAATAGTTTTTCGATCATCAGGGAAACACAAATGAGCAAGAGAAAGAGCTATACGCCTTTGAACATCCTTTTCTGCAAAGTGCATTAGATGTAACAGGTGTTTCAGTACCTGCCAAAGAGGAATTGATATATGAATCATACCCAATAAACTAAATAATTTAAACACAAATATATTGATCGAATAGAATATAATTCTCATCTGTGACTAGACAAATAAATGATCCGCCACAGAAATTGATAATTTAAAAGAAAACTCACTCGCCCTTGCATCTTCTCCCCTAATCTTTTTAAGATCTTTGCCACACACTCTTTAGTAGGCTGCAAGTCAAACAACAATCAAAACGAAACACGACTAATTAATTAGTGAGAAAGGACTAATATTAGTATCCCTTAATAGACAATTAAGGTATCATGAAGAAGAAATTCCAGTAAATTAAAAGCAAAACTATTACAGTTACTACAAAGAATAGTAACTGAACATACCTGAGTTCTGAAAAATCCATCTTGTAGTTTTTGTAAACCTCCAGCCTTGATAATATATGTAACATTGTCCTATCATACAAAGCGGTTAAATCAGTGGTAGGATATCACTACGTTATGATTTTCAAATAAAGAACAAGGAAACTAACTTCACCTCATTATCAGCAAGACCATAGAGAGCAAAAGCTGCATTATGTTGGAGATGCACATTCGTTGAACCAAGAAGATTTAATAGCGGCTCTAGACCTCCACTATGAGCAATACCAGCTTGATTGTGTGAATCCTGAAATTCGAAGTATATTAGGAAAGAAAGGATATAAAAGAAAATGGTAAAAGCAAAAACCAACACACATAATTACATAAATAAGAGGCACAATTTTAGCATTGCCATTTATATATAAACTGAGAAAAAGTACATCCAATAAGAGTTAGGTTTAAGAAAGCAATTCCCATGAACAGCCAAAAAATTTAAAAAAAAAAACCTCTCGATCTATCCAAGGTATGGAAGGGCAGAGACCTTTGGTGTCCCCTTCAGTCAAGAATTAAGGCCTCACAATGACTATTATGCTTTCTTTTATCTCGTGCCTTTCGTTCATGGTTTGTTATTATGTTGTCCTAGGCATAGGGGAACCACATCAATCCATCCCAAACTTGGTGGTTAAACTCTAATGCAGTGACAATACCATAGGCGGTACATTAAACATCAATCATATGTGGGGTTGTCTGTACTATGTTAGAAACACACGTATATCAAAAGAGTGCCTTTACACATGTCAATTGTTGAATGAAGTGATAAACTGATAATGACAGGCAGTACCTACCCAAGAATTTCTCTATCGCATGATGTCTTATCAAATTAAATTTAAATAAATTATTGGACAATCCAAGATCAAGCCGATCAGCCACTATTATGTTAATCAAAGCTTCCCTCTAAGTTCATCAATTTTATATTTTTTATACAGGCATACAGGTAAATATTTGTTGCAAGTGTTACTCACCTGCGCCAATCTCCCAAGCGCAAAAGCCGACATTTCCCTAAGCTGTTTATCGGGGGACTTAAGCATGTTAACTAATGGTTGAATAGCCCCTCTTTGGGCAATGTGAACCTGCATGAGCCACAAACTTATGCAAGTCAATAAAAGAATTCCATAAAAGAGAGACTTATCACGTTGCAAGTTTGCAACACACAAAGTAATCCACCTTGCAATCTGAATCTGTTGAAGCAAATTGACCGAGTAAAAGAGCTGCTTCTCTTTGGCTCTCCGAACAGGAGGAACTGTCATCAAAATAAAGAACTTGCAGAGATTACTTAGGAGAAAAAGGTATCAAATTAGATATGAAAGTAGTAGCTTACTTTTGCCTCTGTAATGTTTGATAAGCATATCGTTCACCTAAAGATTTCTTACAGAAAAAACCAAGACCTAAGTGTAATGTTACCTAAGTAACGAAATGACAGGTTGTAAAGCCCCAGCTTGAAGAACGTCTTTCTTAAGATTTGGCGAAGAGTGGACCAAATTTCCAATCACGCCAACCTACAAAAAGCGCTAATTCAGTTAGTGCTAGTAGCTTAGAACTCTGTAAGCTGCAAATTAATATATGTATATGTGTGTGCGCGCGCGCGCAAATTGGTTTTAGTTTCTAACCGCTTCGTGGTGTATTGTCGGGTCTTCTGATTGAAGCATTAGAACAAGAGTTGGTAACGCATCGCATTCAATAATCTGCAATTGTTTTATTAAAGTAAAGAACTATAACAAAAGAATATGTTACACCAAGTTGCTGCAATGTCAACTTACCTGGTTTTTATTGTCAACATTTTTAAATGCAAGAGTTCGCAAGGCCCCAGCAGCTGCCCTCTGCACCGTTGTATCATTGTATTCTAGCAATTCGACAAGAGGAGGAATACCACCTTCCGTCCTGAACATACCATATCTATATAAGAGCAAGAAATAATATATTTTGAGAATAAATATCTATACGGTACTAAAAAGTAAATAAAAAAAACCTGACAAGGGTCTTAATGCTATCATTTTCATGTGCAAGGTTGGTAATTGTATCAGCTACTCTCCAAAGAAGATCAGCAAACGCTTGAGAGAAGTTATTGGTCTCGTGACTCCTTAATAAATCTATAAGATAGGGCAAGGCTCCAGCATCTACAATAAGTTTTTGATGCTCTGGCTGTTTGAGAAAACATATCAGCATATACAACATCAAAGTAAAGATACTTCCTGATTTACAAAAATCTGAAATCAGAAAATGATGAATGATGACAGCTGCTCCTTGATCATGTGCTAAATAAACAACTGAGAGAAACCTAAAATGTTCTACTCTCAGTGCGAACAACGGGGCTAGATAAATGAGCAAATTATTCATTGAATATTCAATAGTCAGCAGTTGAAAACTAAGCTTTCATATTTATCAACAAATACATTCTAATAAAATATTGTCGCTAAAAAGGTAAATCCTAGTTTAAACATTGATAACCAAGAATAACCTATACTGTCACTCACTTTTTAGAAAGAAAGAAAAAAAGTCCTTTCCTTCAGCACAGACACTGCAAAAAAAAAAAAAAAAGGATCTACGCTAGAACACCTAAATTTTGTAAATTTCAATGACTAAAATAAGAGTAGGTTCTATTGTAACAATCAATCCAATACGCACCAATGAACGATGGTTCCACATTCTTTCTGAGATGACATACACCAATAAGCGTGACAATACATTATATGCCTATATCTCATTGGTCATGTAACTAAAAATCCTCATACATATGCATTCTATTATCCAAATTCGGTTCATTTTATAGAATACAGATTAAGATATATTTCAAAATCCCAGCTTCAATGGAGCTACTAAAGCCAAAGATTCAAAGTTTCATTCTTTTTCTATAAAAATCTGCCCGCTCCCCCACACAATAGCAATGCCCAAATCATTGAGAACATCAAATCAAATATTCTAAATAAAAACTTGACAAATAGACTATACTTTCAGAAAATATAACCAAATATTATAGAAGTAGTAGTTTCCATAACATTACACGGTCACAATTTCACATAATTGGGATACTTAGAAAAAAAAGAGAAGGGAGCAGTAGAATTTAATTACCTGAACAGCAAGTAAGGTAAGGACGAAGGTACATCCTCTCTCCACACAAAACCGGTAAGGTTTGGTTGCATCAGTGTCACGTCTTACTGACTTTAAGACCTGAAGATGAGTCACCAGAACAGGGACAGCACCACAGTCCACAATAGTATCCACAAGGTCCTCTGCAAGAAAGAGGGTTCAAACAAAAGAAAAATGGAAATTCAGTAACATTTGATAGATGAAATGAGCACAGAACTGCAATTGATAGAAGGAGAAAAATGACGAAATCTAAATACAGTGGTACGGTGAAGCAATATTAATAAAGATTAATAAAGAATAGGTGTAATTGAATTTGAAACGAAATGGAAAAATTCCAAACACACACGAAGCGGTACCGTTTTTGGCCAGTTCCGAGAGGGCATTGAGCGCAGTCTTTGCCATAGTGAGATCTGAGTGGGAAGGTGAGAAAGAGACATTGAGGAGTTCCACCTGTTTAAAGATCTCATCGGAGAAATCTTGGTAAGGTTTTTGAGAATCAGGGACAACAAGAACCTTGCGATCTCCATGGTCTTCGTTCAAGTTTTGTTCACGCTTCCGTTTCAAGCTTTGCCGAGCAGTGGAGCGATGGTGGCGATCCATGAAGTTTGGAGGAGGTGGTTGAAGAAATCTGCTACAAGTTTCTTGAAGGTTCGGAGGGAAATGAAACTGTGCACACTTTTTTTCTTCCACTTCTTTCTTCCACGGCTCCTTTTAAATTTAGGTTTATTACAGCCAAAATTTTAGTTTTGGCGCCAAACACGAAAAAATTTGGTGCCAACAGATTATTTTGAAATTTTTTTTCATTTAGCATAATTGTTTTCAAACTGTATAATGAATATAAGGGATTAGTTTATTTTCACTCCATACGTGGATACATGGATTTTTACTTTACCTTATCTGCTTCAAATTTATCATTTAGACTATTATAATTATAAAAATATTTCATTTAATTTCTTGTAACTTCAAAGTATCACATATACTTATTGCGGTTATAAAAAACTATCATTTAAATCTCTTATAATTTTATTTTATTTTTTATAAATTGCCCTTATAATCTTTTACATATGCATACACGTGCGCGCGAGCACACACACAATCTCTCTATATATATATGCATTTATTTCAAAGTATCATATAAGTGTTTGATTCATGACAAAAATTAATACTTATTTTTTTCTATACATAATAATTTATTTTATTTTAATTAAATTCATTAGATGATACGCATTTAAATATTATGGTCTTATATTATTATCATGAAAACAAACTTAAGTCAAATATTACTTTATTTTATTTATTTATTTGATATTGTTATAATATTTTATAAAAATTAAAATAAATAATTTGTTTGACAAATATGTCTTTAATTTATCTTGAATATTATTTTACACAACTACAAAAATTTAAGATGCTTTTTAAAATAATTTCAAAATAAAGAACTTTAAACAAAATTAAATTTAATCATTAATAATTACTTTTATTAAAAGTTTATTTGGAAATATCATTATTATATAAATAAAAATTATAAAAAAAAATTATATTTATAAGACCACGGGTCTAAGTGATATATCTTAGTTACCACGATAGGTGTAACTAAATGATTGAAATCACAAGTGGTTAAATGATAAACTTATTTAACCACGAGGGTTAAGTGATACACTATTAAACCATAAGGGGTGAACAAAAAAAAAATTCATAAACAAAATTATTTCAAACCATTTGCACATTATAAAAGTTAAAATAAATTTAGCAAATAATTCAAATAATATTATTAAAATTATAATATTTTTATTTCTCAATATTAATTTTTTATTTTTATAACGATACGGCTATTTTGGTATTTTTATGAAAAATAAAGTGTTGCATCTTTTATTTTAAATTATAAATTCATATCAAAAGGCCACCTTAGGAGGAGAGGACTATCAATGAGGTGAAGTCGCCTCAGACTTGATTTTCTTACGGGTGGTCCCTACGGTATTAAATTGTGATTTGTATGTTATCTTGTTTTGTTTTTTGTTTTGTTTTATAAATGATATTTATATTACTTTATGAATTGTTATTTCTTTTTACATAGCTACTTTATTGTTTTTATTCATATTTGTTTCTTCCATTATTTTAATATGTTTACAACTCACACGCATAAAAAAAGGAAATCAGTAGTACGTATTTCATTTTGTGACTATTATGCCCTCGCTGAGCCTGTGTAACTCACCCCCTCTTTATTTTTCCATCTAGATCGTCAGATAACTTAATAGTGAGTTGTTAGGAGTAGTAGCTCATCTAGTAACTTTATTTGGATGATCCTTTCTTGGATAGGTAGTCTTTGGTTTATTTTAGAGGTTTGATCATTTTGTAGCAAAATTCGTTAGTGGTATTTTATGGAGTCTAATATATTTCTAATGTTCGGATACATATTTTGTTGTCGATGTTGGTGGCTGATTTTGTAGCTATAGGAAATTTATAGTAATATCTTTTGCATTCTAAATTTTTAATATGTTTCTAATGTCTGGATTATATATTTTGTTGTTGGTGTTAATGGGTGTTGTTGTATATACTGATTTATATTGTACACTATTATGTAAAAAAAACCATAATAAGTAAAATTGGAATATGAGAGTTTAACGAATCATAATATAGTATATTTGTTTTCCCATGCACATATAGAACAATAATTATATAACTAATTTTTTTAAAAAAATAACCATGATAAAATATGTCATCATAATCATTATTCACTTACAGATTTGAGGAACGAATCCAAACATTTCCAATGACTTCACTGAACAAATGAGATAGGTTTTAGTCAAATATGAGCACCAACAATTATTTTAACAATGCCTTAGAAATTGCTTAAGGATAACTTACCAAATAGGTGATAAGGATGTTAGAAACAAACCCTAGGGTTATGCTAAAAGCTCAAAATGCATCTATCCAGAATAAATATATGCAAAGATATAAATATTCTCATATGATTGGACAACGGGTTTGCCTCAAAATGTCTAAAAAGCCAAATTTTAAGAGGTAGGTGGCGCCCTATTTCGATTGGGCAGTGGTGTAAAATTTCGTAAGAGCTTCAAAATGATATTTCGGGTTTGATGGAAGAGAAAGCAAAGAAAAACAAAAAAATGAGAAAAATATATACAAAAGGGGCGAAGGGTAGTTTTCTTTCGAAGAAAGTAATGGATTAGTGTTATGGATTTATAAAAAAACATAAAATTACGATTATCCCCCTTTTTATTTGGCATAGTGCAATTCCAAATATTACTTTTGTTTATAATCATATAATTACTATTATGCCCTTTTGGTTATGGTTTTTTTTTTTCTGTCACACAATTCTCCCATGTAAATTCTCAAATTTATACTATTTGGCCTTTTTTTTGTGAAAGTAATTTAAAAATTTGAAAGCACGTTTAATTTGAGGAAACATTAATTAGAACCATTTTATTAGAGAAACAAAATGGGTATGCTCATTTGAGAAACAATTTTTTTGAAAAAATGTCAAGAAAATGAATTTATGTTAAGAAAACTATTTTAAATAAATATATTATTATAGTGGTGTACAGGATTTTAAATCTGCAAATAATTTTTCGAAAGAATTATCTTATGACTTTATTGGTTGTGATGATGGTTTATGGTTTTGCCTTTATCCATTTAGAAAAGTAGTCAATGACAACAATAAACCATTTTAATCCTCTCGCAACTTTGCTTCTTGCAAATTGGAGGAGAATTTTCAATATTAAAATATTTAGTGTGAAATATCTATTTAAGGATGTGATATCTTAAGATGTTCAGTGGGGTGCATTCATCAAACTTTTTTCGGGTTTTGAAATCTTATTTCGCTATGTTGCTTCTGTTTTAATCCCAAAATGACGTGATGTTTCTTGTAATCTTCTAATTTAATATATTCTCAAATATTGCTCTTAAGTCTTCTACGAATTATGGCATTTTTTTTGTCAGAGGAGTGGAGAAAGGTCAGTCTCGTAAGTCATAATTGATTCAATGTAAGGAAATATATGAAAATTATTCTCTTACCAACAAAGCTTCCCCAAATAAACGATTCAGGTAATCCTGCAGAGATTCGCAAGATCCCTGTGTAACCGCTTTTAAAGCATGAAAGGACTTGTATTGTGTTTTGCTTGTTCCAAATCTTTCCAAGAATTGGTTAGATAAATATTCATAGTTACAAATGTATTTTAGAGATAGAGGAGTATACCACCTCAAGGCTACTTCTTTTGCAGTAATTGGAAATAACATGCAACTAATAGCAATCGGGACCTCTCACGCCATCATATTTATTTGAAACTACTCCACATATCCCTGTGGACCTCTCTTGTCACCATATTTTTCAGTTAATTTTTTATATCTTTAGGCATAGGGATATCCATTGTATTAGAGATGAAATTATGAGCAATTTTTGAAATGGTTTTCTTAGAAGTATGCAGAGGATGTGAGATTTAGTCTCATGTATAGAAAGAAAATTAACTATGGGATGAAGGCATAATTTTCATTTTTTGGCTTTTACTTTTATGTAGTAGTTTGTCTCCTTATTTGGGCTTGATCTTCATTGTAAAGAGGTTGTTGGATCTTTTCATTGTAATGTTCATTTAGATGTGATTAGCGTTCTTCAACCGCTTGTTGTTGGGGTTTTTTGAACTTAAGCAATTCACGTTCTTGGTTTTTAAGCTTGAGGTTTTGTTGTTTGAGGGTATCAAGAATTTGAAGATAAGTGGCCATAATCTGTAACTGTTGAAATAGAGTTTGATCGTTATGCAAAGGTAAGGTTGGGGTAATGGATGTTCTTATGGCATCTTCAAAGCGATTTCGTAATCAATTATGAGATTTGAACATCTTGCTTCTAGTATTAACCACGCTTTTACTTTTTGAATGGAAATAAAAATTTGGTTTCCCATAAATTGATCGAAGGATGCTTGCTACAAGATTTGTAGTAAGCGTGATGATGGAGTTGATGTTGGATAAGTAATACAAACTTTTTTCAAGTTCAAGTTTTTAATATACAAATGAATTATTTCCACAAGATTGAAGATTTTTTCTTTACCATTTTTTAGAAAAAAAAATATCATCCTAATTGAATAAGACAGAGAATTTGGTGCGTGATTTGTCATAGAAAACTGCTGGATGCGCCTATGCTACCAAAACTTGACTCATTTTGAAGAAAAGTTCACATCTATTTTGTGGGATTAAGTATAAGGGAAGGTTATACTAACCACCACTTAAGTTTATCACATTTACAATCAATCTAGTTCCTTTTAAACTGGTTTTAGATCCAACGATTATCATTTATTTTTTATTTTTGTTCTTTCTCTTCGTCTCTCTCATTATTTTCATCAACTCTCTATGTATGCAAGTTAATCCAATTATTTTATCCTCTCGTTATTTGCCGCTTCCTCTATACGAAGTCTCCTAAATTTAAGACTGATGGTAGTCATTGCCTGTCCTCGTAAAACACATCATCTCCCTTTATATTTTCGGGTCCCTAAAGACTACTAAACTTTCACCTCTGCAACTTTCTTGGCATCCCTCATATGAAATTGTTAATTTCCATTTTTAATCAATTTTGACCATACTTGTTTTGGTGTTGC